GTCTTTTATGGCACAGAAATCATTGAAACATTCATTGATACTGACCCATTATTCAAAGTAAATCAAACCATAAGAATCCCTTGAAAATGATTATCACCAATAATTTCTAACTGACCTTATCAAATTGAGCACAGAACAGGCTTAATTCGTTTGGGTCTCAGAATGTCAGGAAATTGGAGGAACCAATTTGTTTGTATAAGGTCACCAGTGTTTCCAGTGTTATAACTATAGTAAATTGTCTATAAGACTTATTGTAACACTGATATTCAATTCAATGTTTATTTGAACTTAAAAAAAATGAGTTGGATTTGAACTCCAGATTTCTTGCTTCTAAAGCGAGCTTGTATACCACTGGACCATGGAGAGTTACAAGATAACAGCCTGAAGATCCCATATTATTCTGAATTAGAGCTTGTAACACTTATCAATCTTGATATATTTTGTTTACAGTAAACCTGTTGTTAAACACTGAAGTAAATAATCATGTAGCTGAATATTAGCATGTATATATATAAGTATAACGCAACATTAGAACTCTCCAACCAATCTGGAACTATATTTTTGTTACAACAAGAGGGCCATGATGGCCCTGAAGTCGCTCACCTGTATATAGGCCCCCAGAGTGAGGCCAGTTTAAACCCCAGGGCTCTTATTTGAACAAACTTGGGGGGCATCTATTAGAACATGTTTCATGCCAAATATCTTAGCTATAGCTCTTTGGGTTCTTTAAAAGAAGATTTTTTAAGTTTCTACTATATACATATAGGGAAAATCAATGACCCCCTTGGGCAGGGCCATTTTTGACCCCAGGGCTTTTATTTGAACATGCCAATATTAACCCCTGGGTTTTTATTTAAACAAACCTGGTAGACACCCACTAGAAGATGTTTCATGCCAAATATCTAAGCTCTAGCTCTTTGGGTTTCTTAGAAGATTAGATATATAAAGTTTTTTCTTTTGGTTGCCATGGCAACAAGAGTTCTGCATGGAATTTAATTCTTTGAACAATTTTCAAAGGTGACCACCAAAGGAACATTCCCGTGAAGTTTGGATGAAATTGGCTTAGTGGTTTATAAGGAGATGTCATTGAAAGTAAAAGTTAACGGACGCCATACGGACAGACGGATGTCGGACGAATAGCGATCACAAAAGATATAATAAAGATTAAAATTAATGCGACTGTCATTTGACAATCTTTAGACAGTGATCTCCCCTTCTTTTTGTGTTAATGTTCATATGAAGGGAAGTAACTGCTTTGAAAAGTATGTTTGCAAAATTAACAAGAGGGTCTGATATTTCGCTACCACATTTGTTTAGTCTGACGACAAATAAAAATAAAAAAACTTTTAATTGAGATATTTCAACATACCGGTAACTCATGTTTATCGGTTCAAGATTCAAAATATTTAATTTGGTAACTTTATGCTACACAACATAATATAAACAATAATATAGAGGATATTTGTTTAGTTCAGTGTAAGATTGGAATATATTTCACCGAGTGAGCACCAAAAGGTATATTTCATGAGTGGCGCAGCCACGAGTGAAATATGAACTTTTGGTGTTCACAAGGTGCAATATATTTCGATCTTACACTAAACTTAACAAATTTTCTTTTTATTATATCCAAATAAAAGTTTTAAAAAGACATTAAACCTAAATACTGAATGAAAAGCGTGCCAAATAATAATACAACGTGGCTTCATTTACGACGTCATTAAGTTGGTACCCAGTACTGTGCACGCTGGTATTTCACTGAAACAAAGTAAGGGGCTTAAATTCAAAACAGTGAAATTATCAAAGTGTTAATTTCACTGTTTCAAACAGTGAAATTACCATTTTTATATCACTGATATATTTCTATAAACCACCGAAAAGCATGTAATAAAAAATAATACTTGTCAACATGTCACAATTTTATAAAATTATAATTAAATTAACCGAAAATATGAAACTGAGGAAATGGAAGCTTGAAAACATGAGGAGGTTAAACTAGTGGAGAAATTGTATATTTATTGCGTTACTGCTAAATCCCTATTAAAATAAGTCTTTAATGTTTATTATTTTGCTGTTCATGGCAATTTTTAAGGGCTTCAGATTTTTGCTCACCTGTCACAAATTGACATGGTGATCTTTTGTTATTGCTTTTTGTCCGGTGTCCATCCCACATCTGTTCATTAACTTTTACTTTAAACGAAATCTCCTCATAAACCACTAAGCCAACTTCATCCAAACTTTACAGGAATGTTCCTTTTGGTAGTCAACTTTAAAAATTGTTCAAAGAATTTGATTCTAAGCAGAACCATGGCAACCGTAAAGAAAAAAACTTAAAATATTTTCTTTTAGAAAACTGAAAGAGCTAGATCTTAAATATTTGGCATGAAACACCATATAGTCAGTGTGTACCAAGTCTGTTCAAATAAATGCCCTGGGGCCATTGATTTTCTTAGTTGTATATATTAAAAACTTAAAAATCTCTTTTAAAAAGCCCAAATAGCTGGAGCTTAGATATTATCATATTAGGCATGAATCATCTTCTAGTGGGCGTCTACCATGTTTGTTCAAATAAAAGCCCTGGGGTACCCTGGGGTCAAAATTGACCCGCCCCATTGGGTCATTGTTTTTCCCTTTTTGTATATTGAATAAAAACTTTAAAACCTTTTTTAGCTATTGCTTAGATATTAAGCATGAAACATCTACTAGTCAACTTTTCGGCCTTTTCCGTCACTATTCAGATTAATGATAATAGCTGATGTAGTTCCGATTGCAATCGTGACAATTCAGGCGATTCCGTCCTACTGCGGAATCAGACGAAGTAATATTACAGAAATCTAAGCTATTTTAGTTACTTCGGTAATCCCAGTTTGTTTATATAATTAGGATTTCTATTTTTACTTGATTGGTTTAAACCGTAATAAATTATAAACGAAATTGTTCCGTTTCAATTGTTTTTCAAGACACAAAAGTTAGTTTATTTTATAATTGTTATAATTGTTTTTTGTCTGTATTAGTTTATACAATAGAGAATGGTGACTGCACAGTCTGTAGTAGTATTCCGTCTTCAAAGATTGAGTTATATTTAGATCCAACTTCTTGGTGAGGTAATCTAAAAATAGCCCATGCATATCATTAATCTTGCCACCTAGCGCATCGTCTATTTGTGATCGTGTAACATAGTTGATACATGCTTGTTAATTGGTACCACGTAACGAAGTATTTTAGTGCAATTAATTACTTGTCTATAAAGCAAAGGAATGATTTCGCTGCGAAAATGGGGAGATGAAATGTGCACACTTGTTTTCCTTCAGTATCAAGTTTGTATTTTTATGATTGATCATTTTCTTTATTAGTTTTATACAATAGAGAATAGATTTCAAATCGTTTTGACAAAAAATATTCTGTTTTTAAAAAAAAAAAAAAAAAAAAAAAAACTAAATAAACCCTTTATGATATACAAATACCGTAATTCAAAAAAAAAATGTGATCATAAATTGAAACCAAAAAAAAAAACAATTTTAAAGGGTTTGGATGAAGGCACAACTGTGCAAGCCTTTCCTTTTAAAAGGAAACTTTATTTAATGATCTTATGAAAACTTCACATATACTAGTTTTGCGTTGACCCCTCGAGATATGCATGTTTATAGTAAGCTCCATGATTATTGACATTTGTGTTAAACAACAGTGAGCTTCAAAAAAATAAGGGTTACAAACCCAAATTTAGAATAATATGGTTTTCTTCAGGCTGATAATTTATAACATCACCGTGGCCCGCTCACTTAGATGCGAGAGGTCTGGAGTTCAAATCCCAGTTCAGGCAACTCATTTTTTTTTTAAATTGTTTAAGTCAAATAAACATTGAATTGAATATAAGTGTTGCAATTAGTCTTATAGCCTATATACTACAATTAAAACGATGGAAAGCATTGGTGGCACTATACAAAACAAACTGGTTTATAATCTCACAACATTCACCAGAGACCCAAACAAATTCAGCGCCTTCTGTGCTTTAAATTATTCAATCACAATGTTGTTATTAAATGTTATTAAAAAAATACTGGTATAGTCTATAATAATGTTTTGGGACCTGCTGACTTAAATTATTCTCAGTTTTATTGTTTTCATTATGCCAAAAAATATTCCATACAAGATCTGTCCTGTTAACCCTGTTAACTTTAATTTCATTGAAAAGTAAAAGTGAATATTCTCAAGCCAAAGTATTCCTGTGACTGCCTTAAGTGTAATCATTTTGAAGAGATAGAATAATGAATGAACACAGAAATGAACATTTTAGCAGTGTCTTCCTTTAAAATATATATCTGAAAAATACGCATCAATACAAATCTCAAACAAAGTTTTTAATGTTGCCTTACACTCTTTAAAAAGTACATTTTATTAATCAAGTAACAAATATACTCAACATCACTAAATTCTGCATTTTTTTTTCACGGTTATGGCATATTTTCATGTGACCAGTGATAAAATTGGTCAAAATTGACAAATTTTATTCAAACAACTGAACAACAAAGTGTTTGTGCAAAATATTTTAAATCTATAGATTTTTACATAGAAGTTAGAACAACATTTTACAAACTTTTGCAAAATGCAACAATAGTCAATTGAATTTGTGTTTCATTTGAAACAATCATCATTTTTTAAAATGTTCTTGTTTGTTGAAAAAATCAATTTTGAAGTATAATGTAAAGATACTATCAATATTTAAAATTATGCAAAATAACATTTAGAAATTTTGACTGAAACATTAAAAATTTGGATATAAACCACCATTACTGTGATGTAAATGATAACATACTGTTTTCAAAATGGCCAACATATGGTCTTCGTCTGGCTCATTTAAACCGATTTTGACTAAATTAATTTTGTTTCCTTGTGTCCTACAGCAGAAAATACTTATAATTAGGTTACAGCTTATGACAATTTTTGTACCCCAAGTTTCATGTGTTGTTTTCTTTCTTGCTTCTAAGTGTTAAGTGCCATGAACTTAAAGAGGAGAACAGTATATAAAAAATATATCTCATATTTCAGAGATGCAATTCCACACCCCAAAGAAATCGAAGAGGCCAAAATATTTTGGGCACAGTCCTGCTGGGTCACCTAAACCAAAGTCTTTCAACTCCATCCGCAATGAAATTGAAGAGACTGCAATTGAATCAGTAAATGATAGTGACAAAATTCTAAAGCTAGTTTCAAGATATGGGTTGAACAGAGTCGTTCAAATGAAAAGTGTAATAGGAAGCATTCCCCTGAATTTTCCACATCGACTAGAATTTGCTGTGGATATATGTATGTCCTCCACAGATTTTCAGTGTTATACAGAACTGGACATTAGACAAGCACTGTGTCTGGTAGATGATCTGCCAATTATTCAGGCATCAGTAGACAGTCTGCTGCTAAATGCCTCCATGAAGTTGAAGAAATCTTTTGGGTTTTTTCTATGCCCTAAAGTTGAGGAATGTTTATGTGAAGGGTGCAATGGGAAACTTTATGGAAGAAGAGAAGAAATTACTGAATGTACACTTTATAGTTTAAATGGACCTATAGCTGGGCTTAAGGCTGTTCTATTTTGCAGCAAATGTGGAAGCAGGTAATGTGTTCCATCTTGTAATCTGTTTTTTACATTAACAATGTAAGTCATAGATTTTATAACCTCTGACTGACGCTGCATCATCCTCCAGATGAGCTAAAATAATTCAAAAATTCAAACATGAGGAAAGTGTTTTAAGATTTTAAGAAAAGTAAAATGATTCAAGATTCAAGTAATGCTTCACATTATGTCACAGCTATTTATTACTGATTATGCATTATTTTTCATGACCTGTCTACTATGTGACTAAAATCCCCCTATTCCGCATATAATTTGACCTTCTTTAATAAATCTGTAGGTTTTAAGAACTGTTTGTGTTAATGAGTTTGTATACAGCACCATTCCATTAAAAAATAAATACATTACCTTTTGTACTGATATTATGCTCAATTTCTTGTTAAATTTTAAAAATTGTTCTCAAAGCAGACTACTTCATCATATGAAGCAAGACTGCTTTTTAAATAAATCAAGTGATAAATATGCAATTTTGCATTACTCATGAGTATTGCAAAATGAAATTTATTAAATTGATAACAAAAACGTCTCTAAATGGTTGCTGACGTTGCCATATTTTTGATGAAATTTCATATATAGAGATTCATATTTCAATGCAGGTATGGTATTGACAGTTTTAGACCTAGAAGGAAAGATGCACAAATATACCCAGACCATCTGAGCAGTGATGTAATACAAGCGTCTAACAAAGCATATTTCAGTCAGGATACATATGAATTTATGTGTGAATCAGGGTTAGTTTTAATTTTAATCTTTTCCACCAAATTATTGACATAAAAAAAAGAAACAATGGGTAACATGTATTTAGAATAATATTAAGGTATGACCGCACAAACAGATACAATTTATTTTGCAACTGAAATTTGTGAACATAGGTCAGATATAAAATATACTAGTATGCCTTAAAGGACACTTGCATGCAATATTTGACCAAATTTTACAATAGGGTTAAAGAGTGGGTATGGCCACTTGTCTGAACTGAAGTTTGACTATTAGAAGAGCCTATTTTCAGAAATGAGGAACCTTTAAATAATCTATAAAGCAGATTAATATGTCAAATCGTTTTCATGTTTTCCAATCAATGTTTCTTTGGAAACAAATGATATAACATTCTACTATCAATCCTCATAAGCAATATGATTAATTCACCTGAAAATTTATGAAATATGTGTTAAATAATATACCCAAACCTTTCAAATTTTACATGTGTTTGGCCCCATATATAAATGGTGTTTGTATTCAAACATGACAGGCTACAAAAATCTATGCTGAATAAAATGCACCTGCTCAAGTAGCATCTAAATTTCACTAACATGTACCTTTAGTCTTAGTATTGTGACTATTATTTTTGACTAAATCTGCTTTCTTTCTCCATTCAGAAACCATGGTTTTGTCTCAGCCCAAGCATTTTCACAGATCTATCAGACAGTGTTCCATGCTGACCATACCTCAACACGAAAATTTATACTTGCCACATCATCAGGTATTATCCAGATAGGCAAAAAGTCTTGATTATTCTCACTACTGGCCAAAAAATAATGCTAACATATGGCATGAAAACATTTTTAAGCTTTGAAATCTGCACCCCAGAATGTATACTGTTGAAAAAAGAATTACAAAATTTGTGAAGTTTTTCACTTACAAATTAAATGAAACGATTACGTCCAAATATCTAAAACACAAATGGCTACTAGTTCTTGCATACCAGACTGGCATTTTTGTTTGTTTTCCCCATTCCAGAAATTTCAGCAGGCATGGGAAGGGGTTGGGGGGGGGTGCCAGAAGAGCTGTGTGCTACAATGTCATTTTAGTGCATTTTTTGAATGAAATGCATTTAAATGTTGTCATTTTAGAAGGAAACTATGTGCTAAGAATGACGACATATTGACATTGCTATTAAAGTTGTAAATTCATATGCTATTGTCAGATATGGATGAAATTACATTAAATATTTTAACAAATATCTTATTTATGTAAACCATTTTAAATATGAAATAATATGGCAAAATATGAAGAAAAAAAATCTGACATATGTTTGCAGTTCAGCAGACATGTTCACAAAAAATCTTACGATTTATTTTAAGTTTTTCACTTACGATAATCGTAAGTTAAATCTTAAGTCATTTTCGCAAAGCCACTCGTAAGTTAAAATTTTATCATAAGATAAAAAATTCACTTACGATAAATCTTACGACAAAAACATCCCTAGCAACGTTCATTTGATAGTGATGTGCATGCTCTATATTTGATTCCGGTTTTAAAATCAAGTAATCAAGAGCTTGAAATATCTATTGTACACAATCAAATTTCAATAAGAACAAAATTGATTCAAACTGATATAATGTATATCTTGATTGAAGATAATTATATATATCTAAAAGTTTCAGAAAGAAGGTCTATTATGTTATTAATAAATAAAAAGGTACCACTAGTACATACTGGCAATGAAATCAAACTCACCAATTGTACAAGTTATAAGTTTTCAATAATACAAGTCTATAGTATAGTTCATATATTTAAACTATTCATAACCCTCTCTATCGTGATGTCATCAAGTCATGACGTCACAAATGTATATGTTGAAAAATAATTATACCTCAATTTTTGTTATTTACAGCATACTGTTTGCTTAATATTTAGTTGTCCTCCAACTTTTGTTTGTTTTTATTCAGTTTAGGTAAGAGATACATGATATTTTACCCTTAAGAGAGAAAAAAATACACTTAAACGAACAGGGAAGACCTATCGTAAAGTTACGACAGATTTTGCACCTAAGATTTTCTTAAGATTTTTTGTGAAAAGGAGATTTATCGTAAGATTTCTCTTACGACAAAAAATTATCGTAAGATTTTTTGTGAAAATGTCTGCAGATCAGAATATACTTCCCTTGGTCTCGTTATTTGGCAAGTCTCATAACCACCCAATGGGTGGGGTCCACTTGGGACGGATATTCTAATCTGAACTGCAACATATGACAGATATTATTAAACTTTTTTGTTGGTATTATTTCTTATTACTGCATGCTTACTGTACTTTTGTTAAAAACTTTTACAATTACTTTTTTATAATGATTTCAGAGACCAATGTTCTTCAAGAAAATCAAACTCAGATTGTTGATGGTGTTCAACTAACTACATTTCCAGCGATTCCTAATGAAATGCATAGAGAAATGGAAAATGATGGTACTTTATTGTATTTTTTTTATATTGTTTGAAGCAATTGTAGGAGTCTAGTGTCTATTGTGTCAAATATTCAGTTTTTGTACTTGTCTACATGTGTGTCTAAAGACAAAACATAAATTGTTTGATAACTTGCACTTGCCAAGATGTATAATATTTTTTATTCTAACACGACAAGCATTTTTCCCATATTGAACAAAGAAGAACCAAAGTGTGTGTTATCATGCTATAAAGTCACTGTTTGACATTCTATATTTAGACATATGATGTAATCGTTATACACATGACGTTACCACAAAAAATGTGACGCACTGACAATAAGTACAGAAACAAATCAAGCCAATTTAGTTTAAAATCAGGTATGGCAGCATTTATTTGTTGATGTCGTGTTAGAATCGAAATAATAAATCCAAATTGATGATTTTATTGCTTGATAAAATCACTGTTTGTCATTCGAATGCGCATCATTATATCACTTGGGCTACGCCCTCATGACATCCTTCCCGGCATCCAAACTCCAAACAGTGATGTTATTGAGCAATTAAATCTCAGTTTGTGAAATATTATTTCTTAAATATAATACATGTTGGAAACAGGGAAATAAATACTTGTTTATGACAAACTTATTAAAAATGTGAAAAATTTATATTCACTTATATAAATTTGGTAAAAGTAATTTATACTTCACAATAGCCACCTTCGTTGTCTTGGGGTTTAAGTCGCTGACTTATAATCTAGTTACCTCTCTGGCATGGGTTCGATCCCCGGGAGATGCTTTGGTAGTTTAGCGCGGAGGAAGGTAGTCTAGTACTGGTGTAACTGACTTCAGGAACGATGGTTAGGAAACTACCCGCCTATATGACTGAAATACTGTTGGGAAAAGGCGTAAAATGAAACAAACAAACATACTTCACAATGTGATGTGTTTGTGAACTTTAATATACTTCCTGCTCATGATTTTCTCTGTTTTCCAAATTTCCATAGAAAAATCACAAAAATTTGGCAAGCTGGTTCAGTAGGCTTTCCACTACACCACATGGCACAGTGTTTTTTTTTCACTTTTGGGGGAAGGGAGTCGGTGCCCATTGGAGGGGGAAAAATGCAATAGGAGGGGGATTTTTATAGACCCTTTCATTTAAGACTGTATTCAAGTTGTCGCCCTTGGATGACGTCATTAGGGGATACGGTGGTCAATGTCGATACGATTATACAATAATAGAGGGATCCAGACCGCAGGGAATAAAGATCTTAATCCTTTCTCTTGTAAGATTGAAATTTCCAAAATTTTGTGTAATTGAATAGGATTTTACATAAAAAGGATGGTGAAATGAATAAAAATGTTTACTATAATAAGGTTAACGGATTTGTTTTAATAGTGGCAACTGATCATGATTACCATTTTCGTTTAGGTAGTTTCGAAAAACGGCTGCGTAATAATTAATTGCAAGATACTGGTTTATTAAAATCATTTTGATTTAAACATTCCTAAGACAAAGAAAAAACAATATAAATCTATGTAATTTCAAAAAAATGTAAAAGAAAGGCATAAAAAGTCAAAATTCTCTTGAATGTACATGACTGTATACTATTTGTGTCGGCAAAAGACGCACTCTAAAAAAATCGTACATCACACCAATATATTTAAGCTGGTAAAGTAATATTTTTATCTTGATACATTTTAATTCATACTCTGCTTATCAAATTTTTTAAAAAAATCACAAAAAAAAACAAAAACAAGTTGTGAAACATGTTCGCAGAAATTCGTTATTAACTGAATTATATTTTTACGTATTTTTGACTGTGCCAGTTGGATCGAGTATCAAATCAGTAAGGCATGACCAATAAAGTCCCAAGGATGATCCATAACAAAATTCAGACCATAAATCTTTTGACAACTAACAAAATTGACGTAATCTGATGTAACGTTAAAACTCTAAAAAATGTGATTTATGATATCACAGCCAAGTGCCGATTGTATATACAACACATGTACCCTGTTAATTAATATGTTACGGCCCAGTGGCGCTTATATATTCACATCTATTTCTTTATGAAATAAGTTACTGGGAAAATGTCTTTATTTTCATAACCATAAGAATAGATTTTTAATATCAAAATTATCTTTTATTAACGTCTGTAGTGAATCTAAAATTATAAAAGTCAATGCCTCATGGTTTTCGTTCTTTTCGGAATATTTATAAAATTATATCCTTCACTTTGAAATATTTTTTATACGGCATACTGAAAAAGAATCAGTAAGTATTGACAGGATGCATTCCGTAATTGTTCTATTAAAGCTTAAAAACAATCATTAAAAGATATTGGCAATCTTATTTTCATGTTTGTCACAAATACGCCGGCATTTTCTATATGACAGAAAATAACACAGAAAACTAGAAAAAGGCTATTTAAATTTAAAATAGCCAATTTCAGTGTGTATGGGTGTTTATAAAATATTAAAATTTGATTTAGTTACTAGCTTTTTATCCTGGCATTAGAGAAAATCTAGATCTAATAAATATATTCACTTTGAAATTTCTCTGTTTCACTCCGTAGCGAGAAATAATCTCAATCTTTGTTTTTGTATTTTTTTCTTTTGTCTTGATATTGAATTTATGTATGCATGCCTAAATTTTTACATATTATAATTATAATTATTTACGCATTTAACTATTCAATAAGCTAACATTCTATGCGGCATGCATAGTTTTATCCCCCGTTTACGTCACATCCAGTAAGGGAAGTAACACTTCCCTTACTGTTATCGCTTAAATGAAAGGGTCTATACGGATCTAAAATATTGACGTGTCACATGATAAACTTGTTGGGATACCAGGAGTTAAGCTCCCCTTACCTATATGAAAAACCATGCATAACAGTAAGTCTTACAGGCATTAAATAAAGCATTTTTGGCAGTAAGTTGCAAAAAAATGATATTCATTGCAGGCAAATTTGGGCTGGTATATTATAGGGGGAAATTTCAGCTTTGAGGGGGAAAAAAAAACCATACTATTTTGAGGGGGGAATGGGGAGAATTTCGCCGAATATTTTGGTGAAAAAAAAAACACTGTGGCACTATGGCATGCTAATTTGTAGTTGTTTTTCTGTATAAAAAATTATGACCCTTCATTATATCCAAACAAACATAGTTTTTGGAGGTATACTGGAGGTGGCTGGTGGTTCGGCCGTCTGTTGGAAATTTCTTGTCTTTTTCCATCTATTTATTATTTCTTTTTCCAGTGGAAATTTCATCCTCTGGATATCGATTGAACCCATTTATGTCAAGGAAAATTGCCTCTGAGGCATTCTTTAGTGGTGAACTTAACAAAGAAGTAAGAAGTAGAAATATGGAGACTGTTCTGACATTCAAGGTAAATATTTTTTATACTTATACCACATTTTTAGACATTTTTATAAGTATATTAAGGGGAACAACATGAAGAGGAATTCTGCGCCAATCCATGTGCAAACCTTTGATGATCAAATTTTTCTTCTGATTTTTTTTAAAATTTATTTAAAAAAGTCGTGTGAACAAGATTTTATTTTAGAAAAAAATTTTATTTCCAAATGCATTAATAACCCAAGGGTCTAGGCCCTTTTGGGGATTTACAAGAAGGGTTTTTTTGTTTTTTAAATTTTACCTTTAAAATAAAAATTTCATTTGGGCACTTTAAAAATTAAAAGAATAAATTAAAAAATTAAAAGACCCCCCAAACGGGGAAATTTTTACCCCCGGCTACCCAAATTTTAACAATATTGCTAAAGGTTTTAAAAAATGGGTTTTTGCAAAAAATTTTAACCTTTTGCATTTGTCAATTGCTAGAAGAATTTTTTTTTAAAGATTTTACTATGTTTTTACTAGATATACATGTAAGAAAAACCAATGACCCATGGGGCGGAGCTGACCCCAAGGCTCTAATTTGAACAATCTGAGTAGAGGTCTACCAGACAATGCCTTATGCAAAATATCTAAGCTCTAGGCCTTTTGTGTCTTTACAAGAAGGTATTTTAAGTTTTTACTATATGTAGATATTGTGAAAATCAATGACCCCCGGGGCGGGCTGATTTTGAACCCAGGGCTATAATTTGAACAATCTTGGTAGAGGTCTACCAGACAATGCCTTATGCAAAATATCTAAGCTCTAGGCCTTTTGGGTCTTTACAAGAAGATTTTTTAAATTAATTCTTATAATTCCTTTTGGTTGCCATGGCAACCAGACTTCTGCATGGAATGAAATTCTTTGAACAACTTTGGAAGCCCTTCACCCAAGGATCAATCCTGCCAAGTTTGGTTGAATTTGGATTAGTGGTTTTTTCCCCAAGAAGATTTTTTAAGTTCACTATAATTATAATCTATATAACACAAACACACAGTGCCACTGCATCGCAGATGCTATTAGTGGCATAAAAACAAAGATAGATACACAGATCAATTATCAAATAATTTCTTTGGAAAATATACATGTATAACATTATCTAAAAGCTTAAATTTTCATAATATAAATGGCTAAACATCATCTCTAAAATTATGTAATAATGTAATATGACATGCAGTTACTGACATCATCATTGCATTATTTATTAATGAAAAAATGCTGTACGGCTTACATCAAACTTGCAAATAGACTAGTCATTTGTGACACACTTAAGCCTTTTGGCTATCAGTGCAGACCTGTACAGGTCAGTTAGCCACTTCCATTAAAAGAAAACTGAATCATTTTGAGAAAGGAAATGTCAATTGAAATAAAAAAGTGGATATAAATGTTAATTAATTGTCAACTTTTCATATGTCTCATTTCTTTGAAACCAATCAAATGAATTTAATCCACAGAATGACAGCAGTAGAGAAGAAGTGATGAAGAAGATTGATGACCTAAGAAAAACTGAATTGTACCTTCATCCCGAAGAAGACTGTAATCAAGTATGTCAGAAAAGAGGTAATTTATGAAATGAATATATAACTGTATATGAAACTGGTTATGCATCCCCATTTTTGTGGGCATATAAAAAGGCACATCAGCATGAACTTTTGAATACTTACTAGAATTATAAGTGGAGATATATGAATGGCAGCAGTATTTTTATAATATGTCCCCTTTTCATGAGAACATTTTTCATAATCATAGAAAGGATCTGAACTATGAAAGGTATCAACATGAAACTTGGAATAAGTTATTTTCATGACAAGGGACTTTTTTAAAACAGTAAAGATTTTTTCTGAAATTGTTTGGAGTCATACCCGTTTAAACTTTCTACTTTTACAAAAATCTTTAAGTATGATTTTTTTTTATTCGATTGTCAGGGCACTATGTACAGATGCACCAGTAATGTAAATGGCAGTATCCTAAAAAAATGTAGTTTTGTCCCTTTTACCTATGAATAGAGGTGCACATTGGTCATTGAAAGAAAATTGAAAAATATCTAAGGTTACTGATAACAACAATGTACTGAATTTTTACTTGATGGCTATTGGTTATAAATACATCTGTCTGATAAGGACCATTACTGGGAGATCAGTGCTTTTAGGGTATATATGCGATAATTAATATCAGGAAATGAAGTGCATAAAAACCCTAATCCTTTAACTTTTTGTGTTAAATAACTTTTTAGTTGTTGAACTAAAAAGAAAAGCATTTGACCCTCCTTATTGAGCACGAAACGTGCTTTTTATTTTTTTTTTATATAAAAGTTTCACATTGTAAATGTATAGAAAAGTAATTATTGTTTTAGATCAGTACTTAAAATAGTGATTCTATACTTTCATGATAGGATGTAAAAACTTGAGGGTTATTGATTCCTGCTGGAAATTATGCATCCCGCACTGTATGCTTGCTGTACCAACTGAAGTTAAAGGATCATCACTGCTCACCTTTCCAAATGTCTGCACAGAGGAACCAATGGCTGGCTCAGTATTTTGTCAGAATCACTATGAAGTTTTAGTGCGCAATTCTGTTCCAACCGAGAAAAGAGCATTTCTTAGATTCATTGGGTGCAAAGGTAATAATCTTTGTTATAAAAATGATTTTCCTTTCCAGCAATCCATGCAATTATGAGAAGGTTAGATAGGTTGTTAATTTGTGCTTTTAAAATTAAGTCCTTTTTACCGAAATAATTGATAACTGGTTGAGTTATTTCAATAATATGGAATTTAAGAAAATTTTCAATGCAAACCACAAGTCCACTGTATTAAAATTGTTATGGTCTGGCAATAATTTTTTTGGGAATGGCTATGATTTTTTGGGGTGTATATTGTAGCAGAATGAAAGCAAAAAAAAAAATCTTATTGAATGACCATTCAATATCTACTTTTAGGCATGTAAATGGACTTCAGTGGAGTCGCCTTTGTATAGAGATATGAATTATGTTAATTTGAATATTAGTATGAGATAGAAAATGGTAGAGGTTACTAAGTTACATGTCTAAGGTAATTAAAAATTAAATCAGAGCTTGAAAATGTATTGTGTCTAAGAAAACAGTCTGCATATCATAAAAACAATAAGAAATAACAAGAACTATTGGAGGACAGTATTGGCTCGACTATTCAAAAAAGTTGTCACAAGGGTGTTTTATTGAGTATAATAATGCTAATTACCTATGAATACATAAAATAGACCGAAAAGGTACAAAAGCTTGTTATTTAGTTGTTTTATCAAGTAAATCACTGCTTTATTATTATGAATGCATAAAAATGTCCCCAAAAAGGCACAAACACTTCAGTAGTTATGGAGATAACACCTTACAAGGAATTTGTAATTTGAAAATAAGGGAGAAAAATCAGCCTAAAAAAAAGATAGAATTAGGGATCTAGGTCAGTAACCTACAGTTATGATTCTAAATACATTTGTGAAGTTTTAAATAAATATCTTTAATAGTTATTGAGATATTTAAAACTTGCATGTAATCATTTAACCAAGAGACTAAGTAAAAAAGGGGAGATGAATCAGCCTAAATGAAAGTAGAGTTATGGAACTTGGTCAGTGACATACAATTATGACTCTTTAATTATGATCCTAAGTACAAATAAATATCTTTGAAGACCTTTAACCTTTCACCAAAATCTCTAAGTTTCAAAGGAGCAAATAATTCTGCAAATATTGCAGTTATGCAATTTTGCAAATTGATGTACATTGTTACTATAAAAAAAGTATTGTAAATTTCATTTGAATATCTCAGGCAATAATTGAGATATTTGACTTTACAACAAAACTTTAACAAAAATTTCAAAGTTATAAAGGGGCAAATAATTCTGCAAATATTATAGGCAGAGTTATCCAACTTCTTAATCTGATGTACATTGTTACTATAAATAAGTATTGTAAGTTTCAAGTGAATATCTCAAGCAATATTTGAGATATTTGACTTTACAAAAATCTTTAACCAAATTTCTAAGTTATAAAGAGGCATAATTTTGTAAATATTTTAGGCAGAGTTATCCAACTTGTCAATTTGATGTACATTGTTACTATAAATAAGTATTGTAAGTTTCAATTGAATATCTCAAGCAATAATTGAGATATTTGAATATACAAAAAACTTTAACCAATGCGGATGCTGATGTTGTCGCGTCTACAATAGATCTCATATTCTTCGAATAGTCGAGCTAAAAAATGAATGATCATGTAAATAAATGGATCATTTACCAGCAATAAAAGAAAGGAATGCTTTATTTTCAGAGAACCCAACAAGTCAAGAGGACATAAAGAGAGTGGATGAGCGTGTTCTTCAATTCATGTTGGAACTGCGCGACAAGGATAGTGCATTGAATGAAATCCAGACATCTGCTACAATATATCAAGGTCCTATTTTATTTATTGTATAAATTATCATTAACTATGCAATTACAAATAATTAAAAATAATATGAAAGATTCCAGTTCTTTTAAACAATTAATAGCAACTAATAATAACCAATGAACAATTAAGTTATCATTGCCAATTGACATTAAGAACAAATCCAGTCTCTTAAAATTAGAAATATTGTCAAAAGATCTATAATAATAGTCTAAGGGCTGTTATTTGAAGAGGCATTTTTATAAAAAATTTGAGGGGTTAATGCTGAACCATAATTATACAGTCATGTTTATCAATCAATCAAGCGTAACATTTCTGAATGTGCGATAATCTGATTTCTTTGTAAGACAAAATTCCCTTTGAACAAATCCCTTTCATGTATTTTTGTATATCTGGACAAAATCCCCTTCACATGTGAAATTTTGAAGTGGACAAAATCCCCTAAATAAAATTTCTACCTAGGACAAAATCCCCCGCGGATGAATTTTCTGTTTAAAAAGTGGGTATAATGAGGGCCACATACTGCATTATGATGTGTGTTGATTTCGGAAATATTGGTTTCAACAGCTGAGTTCCATACTGTTAAGGCCTGTGCTAGACGGACAGTGTTGCACAATTTATTTCTTCCTCACAATCTTTCAGAATTTATAGACGAGTTGTATTATAGTGGTTTTTAAATTAAAAGAATATTTTTAAATAAATAAAGTGATGGCATTGATGATTTGACATTTAAAACTTCAACAATAATGGAAAAACACACTCTGTCTAATCATTCAACTTTAATATATATTTGTTCTGCAGAAGATACCACAATTATAATGAACATTTCTAATCTATTTAAATTGTTTTAATGGTAATATAATTTGGTTGATAACTGATAACTTGTAAACAGACATCAGATATGATTCAGGAACCCTTGATACACAATACTCCAAAAAAAACAATATATGCACTCATTAAGGATAAGGGGATGCAACTTTTAGGAACAAGAGGACTGTCAAGGACAATGGTATATATTACAATCTTGGAATTTTCTTTCATTTACAGGGACTGCTGAATTAATTAACAAATATGAAGTGGAAACTCTCAATACTATCAGCCCTAAAACAGCATGCAATAAAGATACAGGTGAAAAAGGACGATTGAGGCAGAGAGCACGGGGACATTTTGCAGCTGTTAGCGGTGGAGGAAATATTCTCTGCTTTAATCCTATCTACAAGTAAGTTTTGAGGGAATTTAATCAGCATTCTTTTCCAATCTCATATCAGATTCTGTTTTATGCAGCTGTTTTGATGATTCTTAAAAGTAACACTCTTTGGAGCACACATTTATTTACATACATTGCAAATTGAAAATGGTTATTTAAGTATTATCATTGCTAGTGGTTAATAACAGAAAGGCTGATGCACTAACCAGAATATCACTGGTTACAAAACAAAGTCTGGCCAGGACTGGTATATTTTTTTGTATGGCAGCAACTGACGCAAGAGTTTAATTTCATCTAATGTTAGTTGAAAATTTCATTATTTTTGTATATCCAGACATAATCCCCTTCATGGGTGGACATAAACCCATTCATGTGTGAAATTTTGAAGTCATAAAATTGGCACCTTGGACAAAATCCCCTTTGGCGGAATTTTCGGTTTATAAAGTGGGTATGAGAGCGACATACTGCATTATGCTGTGTAGTAAATATCTTTATCTATAAAAAAGTGGAAAATATTTCAGCAGAAAAGCACATTCAATTAGCAACATTAAAATTAGGGTTTCTTAATCGGAAAAAAATCATAATCGAAACATTTACAATAACAGTAAATATGTACAATGCACATATCATGCTTTAATATTTATAAGAATTCCATTAATTATCTATATTTTGTGTAACTACCACTTAAGATTAAAATAAACTAGTTACGCATGCTTCTGTTCATCATTGTAAAAGTATTTTAATCAAATAAATTCATTATATCTATGAAATTATTATGTCTCAATTCCTATAAAGGGATGAATAAGCTATGTATGAGAACAAGAGAAGTTAGTCATTAACAAAAATTCCAGGTTTTTTTAATGACACTGTATATTGATATTGTTACCATCTTCAGTGTGTAGAATAATTTTATACATATCTTCTTTGTTTGAAGTCAAAACATGTTTATTTCATATTTACAAATAGACTGTGTAGACATTTTCTAAATTTAAATTTGAGCATAGTATGTCTTTAAACTAGAATGCCTCACTGTCAACTATTAACCTCATGGTCACCAGTATGCTTTCTCATTCATTTAATGAAAGTTATTGGGTACACCAAAGCTGGCTTTAATTTACAGTGTTGTTATAATACAGCGAGTCATTTAAGTAAGAGCAAGAAGATAAATAACCGATGATTGATCATTGAACTTTGTATTCAATCATTGCTAATCGGTCCTATAAACGATCAATTAACGATTATACTCGATCATCGTTTAATCCCTAATTAAAATCACATTAAAATTGCTTTGTTAAAGCATTCATAACAATCAATCAAGTAGTGCAGTGATCTTGGTTTGATTAAATTATCCCTCTTTCATCAATAGAAATTGTAACAATGGATAGTACATATATATAAATTCGAATTATCAACTTATACAATCAATGAAACAATAATGTTGGCTAATAAAATTGTTTTTCATACTAATCAATTTAAAACAATAAAAGAAATTGCCTGATCAAATATGTGTTTTGCAGTTAATAATTTACCATAATTTTTTTTTTTTTTTTTCAATTTTTTTTTCAATTTTATTTATTCATTCAGATCATACAAACATGACAACATGAGGTAATAATACAATTACATAATAAATGAGGCTTCAGAATCAGACAGTGTCAAAATAACAAGATATATAAATTGTTAACATATTATAAATATTGCGGGAGAGTCAGTATTAAAACATATACTTCAATAGGGTTCTCCACAGCATTAAATTTATACAATTTTTGGCTAATTTGAATCTTAATATAATTTCTTTAATAAATAAACAAAGTTTTTTGTAATCTGGAATGTTAACATCAGTGTTCATAAGAAGATCAATAGAATGTATATTATGTTTCTGTAAATAGTTATGTTTTAAAAAACGTTTCCTGCTGTTATCAAAACAAGGACACTCAAAAATATAATGAAATTCATCACCAATTGATCTATCTATATTTATGAAACAATGGGATTTTGTCCAGGTAGAGAAGGGGATGTAGTCCAGCTTTGCAAAAAAAATGAAGGGGAATATGTCCATCCATGAAGTGGATTTTGTCCGAAGGGGATTATGTCTGACATTCCACATCTACAATTTTACAGAGTGGATAAACGGTCCCACACCTTAATTTCACAGATATTTCAATTAAAAAAATGCATTCAGAAGGAATTTTTTTACTCTTGTAGAAAATTTCCTGAAAGTTTCATGGTTAGAGAAAATTATAATTGAAACAAATTTATGAAAACAATTGACTGTCCCTATTCTATTATTTCTATTTATCTCCACCTGAAAGAAAGTGTGCATTTACTTAAAAAAAATACTGTATGATGATTCTGCACACGGATGTCCTTCAGGGCCCTCGATCAACCAAATCCCCCACCAAAATAGTATGTTTTTTCCCCCTAACAGAGATAAAAATTCCCCCTCAAAACATATAAGGTGTTAAAGAAAAAATTGAAAGCTCATGTTGTTTTTGAAAGTAAAAATCCATCTATTTGACAGCTTTTTTGTAAGTGGAATATCGTACAGTACATGTCTGCAAGTTTCCGTTTGTTTTTTTTTCCCCCAAAATCTACCGTCACACATTGGTCTTTCATCCTGTAAAAATGCTAAAATTTCAACAGAAATATGCAGCAAAAAAATTACAATTCCCATCAACAATTTGATTTCAAATTGTTTATTCATGAAATCATTTTTTTTGTCTTCAAAATGTTACATCAAACACGGTAAATTTGCTGTAAATTACAAACTTGTAAGTTTTGTTTTCATGATACTTAATTAAATAACTGATGTAAAACGATCTTATAATAAACAATCAATTTAATTTTATATAATTTACATTAGAAACAACTAGAATTGTGGATGTGTAAACAGAAAACAAACAAATTTTCATTTGTCACATATTTTCACAATGCTTATTTTTTTTTTTTTTGGGGGGGGGGTGAATCTAGAAAGCTAAGCAGCATAAGATCTGAATGAGTTAGGTGTTAAAAACTTTCTTCAATCTTATCAATCACTTCTGAACAGTTTAGTGTAACCTATTTGGGATTTTTAAAAAAATATTATGGGTGTAAATAGAAAACAGCTGATATTTAAATAAGTTTATTTGATATCTGATCATAAAAAAAAGAAGAGGAAAATTCCCCCCATACACTAAAATTCCCCATGCTGAGGGTAGCGACCCGCTTCCCCCAAATTAAATGCATTGTCATTTTTTTAGTTCCTTTAATATGGAAAATCTAGTAACGTTTTCGTTTTTCAGAAGTGAAAGTCCAAGTCAAGTATTCATGCTGACAGTCCAGATGATTTACAATGAGATGAAAGATGTCCCTGAACACGAGATTGAAGAAAAACTGAGAAAATATATACTTTCATATGACAATATGTGCAATTTAGATAAACTGAAGGCTGCACGAGAAGACCTCCCTTTACCTGGCCACCTGGCAAAAATGTGGACACACATTAGAAAGATAATAGACAGACTCCACATTAAGAACCACAAAGACAGACGTTGTCAAAATGTGTATAATCCAGAAAAGGTTCTAGAAGAAAATGAAAAAAATGTAAATACTATGGCAGCAGAGCAACTTTTTGCTTGGATGAGTCGCTTTAAGAAGATTGTAAACAGTATGACACAGACTCATCATCTCTTTTATCTACATAGAATGTGTATACGGAGAAACAAGTACTCTGCACTATGTAGAAAAAGAGGAGTTGAGCCTGTGCATCCTGGTATTAATTCAAAATTGCTATAGTATGAAGCCCATTAAAGGAACTCCACTGAGGTTTAAAAGCCTAAAAACAAAACATTTGAATTTTATACAAAAATGAGCTGGGGCACTTTAAACGGAAATTTTTGCAAAGATAGATCAGAAAATATTTTGAAATAAATTGAAAATCGTGCTTTTATGGGTTTCTTAGCTCGATTTAAGTGAAAAGTGTTAAAACGCTTTTCATTTTGGTTTTTTTTTTTACAATTTGAATAATTATTCTGGAAAAAACGAATACAGCCAATGATCTAAAATTTTGCACAATGATTAGGGGTATAAACCTACATCAAATAGTATGTTTAGCTGGAAAAAATATTTTCAGTCTTATCATGTCAAAAAACCTCAGTGGAGTCCCTGTAAGTGTGGTATTTGTGTGTGCATATATAACAAACATTACATTTTCTTTTAATTCCAAACAACTCTCTCTGTTTGCTATATGGTTGGGGTTTTTTTTCTAACATTGGCTCCATCATGTCATAATAATTTTTGAATTTCACGTAAGAGATAAAACATATCTAAATTAATGAAAAGAAAATTTTGTCTTTTTATGTATTTCTATCCAGTGAGTGTAGGACAAAAGCCCCCCCCCCTTCTAAAAATGACACGGTGGACAAAGGCCCCCCCATGAAATTTCCACAAAGGACAAAAGCCCCCCCCCCCCATAAAAAAGGAATAATAAGAAATAAACCAGAGGTTTGAAGTTCACATGAAATTGTTTTACAAAATTAATGGTCTACAATTTTTCAAGACTTTTCAACATAAAAAGATTCAACCAATGTCTCATTCCACAAGTTATTCTATAAAAATCCATGAAATATCCAAATTTGACAAATTGTCACACTTGACAGTCATGTCTTTCGGAAAAAAAAATGTCATGAAAGCATTTCGATATATAATTTCTTCCGATGCTTCAGTTTTATTTTAACTTTTTTTATTAACTTGATTGTTAATAGGTAATAAACAGTTAGAAAACCACTTTTTTTTATTTGATATATTTGGTGTTGGTTGAATTTATTTAGCTTCAGGATTCATGGTTGATGCAGTAAATTTTAAAGTGCTTTATCACAATTTTTAGCTCGCCAGTGTAATAATAAAATAAGAATCATTTTTCATAAATAGGGTGTATGTTATTAAATACTCTATCACATAATGGTAAAACAAAACAATCATAAAATCTACTAGTAAATTTTTTTTTCCATCAGAAAATTTCTACAATTTACGTCAATTGAATATTTTATGTTGCAATATAGATCTTTTGTGTAAGTAACGTAAATGCCATATTTTATTATATGTCTAAATTATCTTAATGATGTGCTAAGGTAAAAATACCTTTTTTACATAACTTTTTTTACAATAATCTGTTTAGTATAGTATTAGGGAATCTAAATTCTTATTTCAACACGAAAAGCTTCAATTTGATGATGTAAATCTGACAAACAATTACTGGGTTTTTTTTTGTATATGTTCCCACATAAGCATGCTTAAATACTAGATTTTTCTTAGACGGGAAATTTTTTAATTTTTTTTCCAAGCAATTTATAAACCGTTGAAATCAGAAAAAATTTAATGTTGTTGCACTCACTGTGCCTTCCTGAGAAAATTTTGCGTGTTTTCATAAAATATCACTAGAATGAAATTAAATTGTTTGACATATACACAATACACCTATAACTTGTAAAAGAGCAATTGTTCATACTATGGCAATATACAAACTACAGTTATGGCATCTTTTACATGCCAAATTGTCAACACCTTGCCAACACAATATACAGACAGGTATCTTCGGAAATCAGGCTAGTATAGGAAACTTTACAATTAACAATTTGTCAACACCTTCGTTAAGATCAAGACATTTTGACACCTATCAGGTAGATGCTGCTATGAAACAGTAAAATTCACTTTAACATCTGTAAATTGACGCCTTCAATAGAATTGACCAATGAAACAATTGGATTAAACAGCCAATGATTAAGCATCTGACTTAACTAGAAATGGTTTAAATAATTCAAGTTCAGAGCAATTTATCATCTCTATTTGAGAATTTAATTCATTCAGAAAGTGATTTCTAAAAGTGTTAATTCAATCATGCCTAGTTCAGGAATAGTTCGTTCTGAAGACAAACTTCGGTTTGGATATATAGTGAATGGGAAATTCAAAGATTATACTAACTTTGGCATTGAACTTTTGTATTCAATTGAGACTAACCTCCCAACAGGTCCTGGATATATGGCACTAGTGACTAGGGCTACAGACAGTGTTTCTGGGTATGTAATATCTACATTTTCTAAAAGGAGATGATACTTTAAAATGCACTATAACAGAACAACAATTCATTTCCTTATATAACAGGGCAATATATTACTTTCCTTATGGTTGTGGAATTTTACTGTCTGAAAAATTGGGTATATAACTTGTAAAAACAAGTCAAAATAAAATACCATTTTTGGCCATAAAGAACTGAATATTTAATTGTGTTATGATGTTATTGGCATTATTCAAATAACTTCCCTTGTCAGGTAGTAGTGCTAAGTTACTTTACAATTTCTAATAATGCTTATCCAAAATTTATGTTTTTAACATATTTAGGAAAATTTTTTGTTTTGATGATTGTTTTAGCAAAAGTAAAGAATCAGTTTGACACATATCCACTCATATCAAGTACATACAATGTAGAGTATCTAAATACATATATTAACATTTATATACATTTTCATGCATCTGAAAATGGGTTCATAAAAACTGCTTTTAATTTCTTTACATCTGAAATGATACTAAAAGTATAATGTGTTTCCAGAATTCATTTCTTACTGAATATTCTTCTTTTTCTGGGTATGTTTTAGTTTTGTAGTTGTTCTATGATATAACTAACATAAAAAATGTTAAAGGAAAACGTGTATATATATCTTGTATTATTGCTGTGTGTTACCTACCTGTGCATTTATTAAAATTTATTATTGTTCGTAGTTAGAAATGTAACCTGGACAAAACATTTTATGTATGAATTCTTGCATAAATAAAAGAAACTTTATCAACTATAATCCCCCTTTTATGGACACATTCAGATAGTTTATATGAAAATGCATTTTATAAAATCGAAATATGAAAATATAAAATATGTTTTCCTGTCTAAAATCTGAAACAAATATACGGAGCATGCACATCAATATAATTATGAACATTGTTATTTTTTGCCTTAAGATAAATTTTTAACATACTTTGTCTTTGTTACAATTACTACGATCATCGTTAGTCTGAAACTTATATAAATATTTTTTTCCAAGATTTTTTCAAGTTCAAAAAATCAAAATTACTGAAGACTTAAAAAGGAATTCAAATGAATTTTATGAGTTGATTTTAATTAGTACTGGTTGGAGAGATAACTCCGACATTATCTTCCAGTATATTTTAAATATTGAACCACCTAAACAAAGATCAGTTCAAAGACTTTACATTACACCACAAAAACTATGTATGAAAATGGAATCTGGTACTTCTTTAAGGTCTTGAATGAGGTATACAAAACATGGTCTTTTTACCCCCCAACAGAAGACAAAGTTGACAATTTTTAAGTAAAGAATGACTGGATAATCAGCATCAATAATTTATTTTTACATCTTATATGGCTTATCTATCTTTTGTAAATATTTAAACAATTTTTCAAAAATCTTTCCCAAGTCACACTGGCCTGTGGTCAATACATTTCTAACTACATTACTGTAATTTAGTAAAAAGAATGTTTTGAAGCAGTTTTTGCCTACAAAAAGTTTAAAGTATTTGAAAAACATTAAAAAGTCTATCAAATTATAACAAATCATCACATTCTGTCCTGTTTCTATACTATTAGGTGATCATGTGCTTATTTGTTGAAAAAAAAAAGCTAAAACAATTATATTTATAAAGTGTCTGGGTTATCTATGTGTCAGAGTTATCTCTCCAACCAGTAATGAAAAGTTGATTTCGGTTAATTTGCAAAGATCAAATTTAATTCAGTATCATATCAACAGATTTAGTCTGTTCCAATTTGAACAATAAGCAGAAATGCATCAATGGAAATACAGTCTTACCAGGGTAGGCAAAATATATTTTTACTTACATGTCCGTTTGATATTTAAATAGTAAATTATTGAAATTCCATTTGTTGGTACAGGCTATGCAACAACCTGGGCAATACGGAGAATATATTTTTACGCCCCTGCTCACTTATTTAGGCAGAGAAGATGGTCTTTAGTGTCCATAAACTGAACAAAAAACCTTCAGAATATTTAAGACATGGAATAAAAAGTTTCAAGAAAAAAATCTGCATTAGCCAAATGTTGACCTTTAATTAAGTATATTCAAATCGACATCATGTTGATAACCTAGGCTAAAATTCAGGTAAACAATTTCATTAATTTCTAGGCATTTTTCTGACATGAATTATATAATACACAAACTGTGTTTTAGAAGCTGTATTCCCTATTACTAGTCCTGTATTAGTTCAAAAAAAGTTTGTATTACAATAAATTTAAATAAGACTTTATAAAATATAGCAATTAACAGTTACTTTTCCTATTTACACTTCAAAAACTGGTTGATTTCTTTACTTCTTTTATACACTTCTGAAATCCTCACTTGATAGAAAAATATTTCAGTGTTAAGAATTAACTTATATTTAAATGAATTTTCAAGGATTTATAGCAAACAGTCTATACATTTTTCGCCAAGGAGATTTATTTTTATTTTCTATCTAATTAAGCAACTAGAAGTTAATTTACTGACATATAATTACAAATCATGGAATGTCACCAAATTGTTTTTTTGTGTTGGTTTGATATACCTTGTTATTAATTATAATCCTATGATGTTAATGCTTTTGTTTAAATATGGAATGTTATAAGACTATTAGAGAATAAATGCAAAGTTAATGTTTCCATAAATTTTCTTGTGTTTTAAAAGTCCCCTACTGGTTTAACCCTAGGTCAGTCTGTCCATCAGACAGTCTGACCGTCCACAACACTGGATTCTGTGATAACTCAAAAAGAACTGAAAATATTTTTATGAAACTTCATATATGGATAAATGGCAGTCAGGAGATTATGCACATCTTTTCTTTTCTTCCCATGTTGAAAATTCTGGTTGCTATGGCAATATATTGACTGAAAATATGGCGAATTTAACATATAAATTGAATTCAGAGATTACACAAAAAGTACTAAAAATATTTTTATGGAACTTGAATTATGGGTAGATGGCTGTCTTGAAATTATGCAAATCTTCTTTCGTTCCTATATTGAAATTTCTGGTTGCTATGGCAACAAAATGACTGAATTTCAAGAATTCTGGTTTTATATTTTACTTCCATTAATTATAAGTTCTTAATTTCTTAAATTATGTCATTCAAACTTTAATTATAAGTTTTTGGTCATCAACCACACCTAGGTCTACCAAGCTTGCAAAAATTTATCAGAATTACCTGCCTAGAACTTAAATCGCTTTTAAAGATATTTTCCCAACAAATTTACTTAAAATAAGGAAAAAGTTTTAGCATTGATTATACTTACTCATTCTCATAATGGACCTTGTATCAACATAATTTCTTTA